GGCATTCCTCTTCAGCTGCCCAGCAGCATTACAGTCCAAAATGTCTCCTGGGGCCCACTGAGGGCTCAGCCCATTTCTTTACTTTCTACATGCTTAGAACACACCAATGACATTAGTTTGAACAACTTCATTTTAGTGCACCTCTCACCTTCCCCAAACTCATCTTGGTGCATTTGCTTCTCAGTAATCGGTTCAAAATCCCTTGTCATCATGATGAGTGTTTGCTGACCTGCAGGGTGGAGATTAAATACAGTATTGGTAATGTTATCTCCAGCAAATAAAAACTCAATGCTCTCCTATGTTGTCCTACTGTTTCGTCATGGACTTCATATTAAAGAAATATTTCTAATGATAGTATGATACTAAAGAGAAAACATCCTTCAAAGCAGGAACAGAAGAACCTCAAACTGGAACAGAAGAACACTTTCCAAGTCTCTTCAAACACATGCTTCCTGGCCTAACCTTAAAAAGTTCTTTCCATCTTCAAAATATGTACCTGGTACCCTTAAACACTTTCTCTATGAAGGACAAGAAGGTGACTGGGAGCAGCTGGCACGCATTTATGAAGGGGAAATCACGCCTGACCATCCTGATAGCCTTCTACAATGAGATGATATGGTGAGATCAGTGGATGTCATTTATCTTGATTCTAGTATGCTTTTGACATCGTCTCCCACAACATCATCATAGACAAACTCAGAATGGATGAGATAGATAAAAAGACAATGGACTGAAAACCAGCTGAACTGACAAGCTCAAAAGCTTGCTATCATCGGTAAAAAGTCCAGCTTGAGGTCAGTCACGAGTGGGATGCCCCTGGACACGAGGGCCAATGTTCAACATCTTCGTTAATGATTTTGAGGATGGGACCCACAGCAAGTTTGTAGATGACAGAAAACTGGAAGGAGTAGCAGGTACACTAGAAGGTTGTGCTGCTGTCCACAATGACCTTGTCATGTAGGCAAGACAGGCTGCCAAGAATGTCTCAATAAGGGAAAAAGCCATGTCCTGCACCTGGAAATAATAATAATCTCAGGGATTAGGACAGACTGAGAGCCAAGCACCTGGCGAGCAGCTCCTCTGTTTCCTGGGAGACACTAAGTTAAACATGAGTCAGCAGCATGTCCCTGTTGCATAGGTGGCCAACAGCACCCTGGGCTGCATTAGGAGTGTCGCTAGCCGTTTGAGGGATGTTTGCACTCAGTGCTAGTGAGACACACGCTGGCTTTCTTTTTTGGCTCCCCAGTACAAGGCAGACAAGGACACGCTGGAATGAGTTCAGCGAAGGATCACAGAGATGATCAAGGGCTTGGAGAATCTAGCACATGAGAGGAGGCTGAGAGAAGTCAGACTGTTCTGGAGAGAAGGTTCAGGGTGAATCTCATCAGTTTGTATAAATATCTCACGTGGGAGGTGGGGTACAGTAAAGAATCACAGAATGTTAGGGGTTAGAAAGACCTCGCAAGATCACCTAGTCCAAACCCCCCTGCCAAAGCAGGACCACCTACAGTAGATCACACAGGAACGCATCCAGGCAGGTTTTGAATGTCCCCAGAGAAGAAGACTCTACAACCTCTCTGGGCAGCCTGTTCCAGGGCTCTGTCACCCTCACAGTGAACAAGTTTTTCCTTATGTTAATGTGGAACCTCCTACACTCCAGCTCGCACCTGTTCCGTTGCCAACCCCCAAGAGGAGCCCGGCCCCACCCTCCTGACACTCGCCCTTTACCTATTTATAAACATTAATGAGGTCACCCCTCAGTCTCCTCTTCCCCAAGCTAAAGAGACCCAGCTCCCTCAGCCTTTCATCATAAGGGAGATGTTCCACCCCCTTCATCACCTTTGTGGCTCTGCGCTGGGCTCTCTCAAGCAGCTCCCTGTCCTTCTTGAACTGAGGGGGCCAGAACTGGACACAATATTCCAGATGCGGATAGAACCAGACTGTTTGTGGTGCGGAGTGACAGAACAAAAGGCAATGAGTACAAACTAAAATACTGCAAATTCCATTAAAACATAAGAAAACAACTTTTTTTACTGTGAGGGTGGTCACAGACATGAAGAGGGTGCCCACAGAGGTTGTGGGGTCTTCGTCCTTGGAGACAGTCAAAACCCGACTGGGCACAGATCCCAGCAACTTGCTCCAGGGAACCTGCTTTGAGCAATGGGGAAGGAACAGGTGATCTCCAGAGTTCCCTTTCAAGCTCAAGCATTCTCTGCTTCTCTTTTCCTTGAGGCTAACTTTATTTTCTAGGTGAGACACATCTGTAGATAAGTTGAGTCTGTGACATCTATTTCCTACCACAGGACAAGAAGTACTTTTTGTTACTAAGAAATCAAATGGGGATATAAAGCAGGAGCCTTCACGCTTAGGAGGCAAGATCAAATATATTTCCTTGAAAGATCTGAAAGATTAATTACTGTCCTATAAAACTCAGCTTTTTGGGCCTCAACAGCTTCTGCTTGGATCACCAAAGCACCTCAGGCATCACAAAGTGAAATCTCATATATAGGAGCAGGTGGTTTTTTTCTAAATCTTAGTCCCAATTTCATAACTTTGTATTTTGCTTCTATTTTAAACTTTTGGCCCAAAAGAGTTTCACTCCTAAAGGCAGAAAGCTTATAGGCTGTTGTTGATACCTGTTGCAAGCAAAACAAGCTCTTGGTCAGGACTCCAGCTCATGGTACTCAGACCACTGTCCACACTTCCAACACATTCCACCTGCAAGACCAAAATAAGATCACAGAAGTGCAGGAACACCAGTACAACAACATCCCATCACAAAAGCAAGCACCCACTAAGGCAGGGAAATCCTCTTTTACTCAGAAAAGTCACAAGTCTCAATTTACCCTTTGTGCTGAATGAAACAAAAGAAACATTTCTAACCAAAGATGGTTCCAGAGCATTTATGTATAAGAGTCCAGATAATCTACATATAGGCATTTTCTACCATACACAGTTTTAATAAGAGCTTTATTCTGCAACTTTCAATCTTATGTCAGCACGCATAGTGTTACTTCTAACACTGCCTGATGAGGTCTGTGGTTACACTGGTAAACACACTGAAGTCAGAAACCACAGACACAATGGTACTCACCTGCAGAGTTCCAACATGCAGTTAAAGGACAGTATATCCATTAGAACTCTGATCAGCTTGTGCATGCTCAACTTGACAATTGTATGTAGCTGCACTAACTCCAAAATTTATGAAAAACGGGGCCAGTTTTACTGGGCCATCATGAGTATATAACAAAATAATGGTGGGCAGAGAACTTCTGTTATCCTGATTTGCAAAAGGCGCGGAACATAACACTTGTGATAAACAACAAGATGATGCCATTCAAGGATTTAAGCTTAGGTGTCACATTCTCTTCAGGTAAACAAAGCGGGACTGGGTACCAGTGGATAAAGTATCTATCACCCCCATGCAAAAGGTTTCAGAACAAGCAAAGTACCCTTCAAGACTTCTTTTTGGTGCAGTCTGGGCACCAAGAATAACACAACTTTAAAATTGAGAAATTAAGCCAAAAAGCCTTGAAATAAAGGATCTGACGTTAAACCTCAACTCTGGCCCATGTACCAGTGCAAGAAAAGTCTCACGTAACACATCTTTTGCTAATCTCTGTTCTCTTATGACATGTTTTAAGTTGCAATATGGGACATGTTTTTCAGACACAGTTGATAGTATATTTAAGTGGTATCTGCAAATCAAACCCAAAGAAGAAACAAAAGAAGTGACCTGCAAATAACCACAATCTAACCCAGCTAACCTAGACAGACCACTGTCATCTCATGTCCACCTGCACTGTTGGGCTGGTATTATGGGAGATGACGCAGATTTCAGAGGGTGCTGCTGGGACGTTTAAGTGTCTTGCTGAAGACTGTACAAATCTGACAACGAGGAAGGAACAGAAAGCAAGTATCTCAGTTCCCAACATATTTTCTCAGCTAAGATATTTTGACTTCCCTTCAGTGTTTTCTAGGGCTTTTTTTATTCCAAATGTTTTTCAAATCACACCACATAACATTTTCTCCTCTCTTCAGTTAAGTCATGTCAGCATGATGTTCTGTAATGACTGACAATAATAAAAAGGTATCTACACTGTGAGTTACGAACGGGCACTTTATTCTGCACCTAGTTTCAGCAATGTCCTATTTCTGTAAGACTGTCCAGTGGATCCTGTTGGGTATGTGCCAACAACCCCCTGAGCAAACACAGAGGACGAGGGCCGTGGACAGGCAACCCACCATTTCAACTCCTTTTCTTTTACAGAGTGTATATTCTGTCCTTAATCCTGCTCAAAGTTCCCAGAAAAGGGAGACTAACCACAGCTCACTATCTAATAACATACAACAGCCCCTTGAAGAAATTAAAACAGTGTCATACTTTCCTTTGAAATCCCTCATCATTGTTGTCTCTTTCCTGCCATGTTACCTGCTTCGTGCTGAAATTGCACAGTAGGATGTCTCCAGCCGCTGTAGCAACACACACGCACTCCTGCTCTGGAAGATCTTCAACACCCACGATGCAGCCACTTCCATCCTCGGGCATGAAACCCTCCGCAGTCAAGGAAACTTCTCTTGTCACCTTGACACAGAGAGGCCAATCATTTATTAACCACACATCACCTCACTGGCATTTTTGCAGCAATGACAGAATAACATCCATGGGTATATTTCATCCTAATGCAATTACACAAAGCATTACACAGCAGAAGCGAGTATGTGAATTGCACCAGGAAACGGTCAATGTGCAAGTACTTATCCTCACCTATCCATAGAAAACTCTGAAGTTCTCTTATGTTAAAAGTGCTGGACAGACAACGAGAAAACTCTGATAACAGAGCAAATAATAAATGGCAATACTACAGCTTCCAAATTACCTTGCTAATCATCTTTCAACCCCCTTTTCATACTTCTCCACATAGTGTCAACATTACGAGACGAATGGGTAGCTGCTTAAAGTGTCCCAATACTTTTAAGGGGTCATTCAGACTTACAGACACAGCATAAAAAAAAAAATTCAAAGGAAAACTATTTGGATGTGCATTCAGCTACAAAAAACCAAGAGAGTTTTAGCCAAAATAGCTCTCTCTAGCTTAGTTGCATGAATGTTTTACATATCTAGTCATTAGGGAAAAAAACACAGTGGTAAAGACCTGAGATAATGCCCCCTCCAAAACAGCAAAGAAAGCCGGCATATTTAGCAACTTCAGATAGGCTTCAGAGTTGTTCTTTTTTTTAAAATTCTTTTTAGATTTTTCGTTGATAGCCTTCACAAACAGATCACAATGAAGATTTTCATAAAATACCCTTCTTTAGAAGTGAGATCTCATGAAACTCCAAAAGTTCTTCCACCTGCTAACTTCAGAACCGAATACACTGAAGGAATTAGATGTCTGAGAGTTGCATAGTGTGTTTCCAGAGAACATACTGCAATCCAGCTCTAACAGCAACTCATGGCTCAACAACATCTTTTTTTCTTTAGCAGTACGTTTGGGTCTTTTTTGCTCTAGAGCACAGTTTCAAAAGCCTCCTTGTGTACTCTCCACTATCTCTTTGCCTGTTTGCTTCTGTTTTGGGAGTTGTGTCTCCGACGTAACTGTTCGCTGGATCATGCTTAAGACTAAACCCGACAGGAACGACCCGTGTCAACAATCACCACCCGTCCGTAACAACACGCCTACAGCGATGCACCAGAGCCGACAGGCACCGACACCCTCGAAGCCATAGCCCCGGCCCGAGCCTGAGAGCGACAGGAGGGAGAGGCTCCCGGTGCGCCCGGCGGCGGCGCTCACCGAGTCCCCCAGCTCCAGAAGGCCGTGCTGGGAGCCCACGAGGACCGTGCCGAGCTCGGCGCTGAGGCAGAAGCA